AGGAAAGATTGCGAATGGACAAATAGCTGCAATAAAACGCGCACAGCAAGGATCCATGCAAGGTGCAGCTGAGTTCAAGAATGAGATTGAACTCCTGTCCAGAGTGCATCACAAGAACCTAGTGAGCTTAGTAGGTTTCTGCTATGAACAAGGGGAGCAGATGTTGGTTTATGAGTATATTTCCAATGGGACACTCAGGGACAACTTGATGGGTATACTCTCTTCATCTTTACAACTATCTCCTAAACAAGGACATACGATTTAACCACTGCTAATCTTCAGGTAAAGGAGGGATACAGTTGGATTGGATGAAGAGACTTAAGATCGCAATTGGGTCTGCTAAAGGCCTGGCATACCTTCATGAACTTGCTGATCCACCAATTATTCACAGAGATATAAAATCAACCAATATACTTTTGGACGAAAGTCTAACTGCAAAGGTAGCTGATTTTGGTCTTTCGAAGCTAGTGTCTGACACGCAAAAGGGACATGTTTCTACCCAAGTGAAGGGAACATTGGTAAGTGATTCTGAGAATTATAAGTGCATAGTTTCTTTTGGGAAAACAAGATTTCTTGCTAATTTATCTTTTATATCGAAATACTAGGGTTATTTGGATCCTGAGTACTACATGACTCAACAGCTCTCCGAGAAGAGTGATGTCTATAGCTTCGGAGTTGTCATGCTAGAGCTATTAACTTCCAGGCAGCCCATAGAGAAGGGTAAGTACATTGTGCGTGAGATCAGGACCGCAATAGACCAGTATGATCAAGAGTACTATGGCTTGAAGAGCCTAATTGATCCAGCAATCAGGGATTCAGCTAAATTAGTTGGCTTCAGGAGATTCGTGCAATTGGCTATGGAATGTGTAGAAGAATCTGCTGCTGACCGCCCGACAATGAATGATGTGGTCAAGGAACTTGAGACCATTTTACAGAATGAAGGGGGGCCGTTGTTAAATTCAGCATCTTTGTCAACTGAACATTCTGGAGATGCAACAGGTAGAGGCCAAGAGGAACACTCTCCTATGAAAGATGACAGCAGCAGCAGCAGTGCTTTTGATTACAATAGTGTATATTCATACTCAGCTGTTGAACCAAAGTAGGAACTATGTATTGGTTTCTTGCTTATCTCTACTCATTGTTTTTGGTGCATGGTCCAAGTGAATAGAACACAAGACATTTATCGTACAATATTCATTTTCCTATCTGTTGATATAACCGAGGTGGAATATGTTATAAGCAGGCACTTGCAAATTGCTTTCTTAAGATATGACAAAGAGAATGATCTATCGATAATATCATAACATTCATGACCTGTTCTTTTTCTATCGATAACCTAAAATTAAAATGAATGATACTCCCTCTGTATAAGAGCGTTTAGATCACTATAGTGATCACTACTTTAGTGATCTAAATGCTCTTATATTTCTTTAAAGAGGGGGTATCTGCTAAAAGGAAGAACATTGTGCATCTCCAGCATACAGTTCCAATCCATCATCAAGCCTATAAACATCCTTCACTGACTTGAATCGTTCATCCGATTTCTGATTTGAATAATTAGCGGATGAAATCTCAACAGTTTTTTTTTTCAAAACGACAAAATGCCATTTCACAACATATATTTAACCATTAATGGCCAATTTTTTTAGTAAACTAATAGCCTCAGATTGGCCGTTGAGGTTAATGAATAACTGTGAAGTCTAAGGTCCTGTTGGAGTGAGGTCGTAAAGTGGTTGACATTGGCGGGTGGTCTGCAGATATAATACAGTATTAGTGAGAAAAACAATTTAGTCAACTATATTGTTGAAAAACAAAATTAGAAGATGCATTGTGACCGTGTACATTGAAGCATCTTTCTTATGATTGCATAACCAGTCACAAAGATAATACTGCCTCGATTACCATGCACCTTCACTGCACTTTTCTTATTGGAACATCAGTCAATAACTCTAGTCCCTACGTATAATGTCGCATCTGCACTCATTTGGCAAAATGGCACATCAAAGACATGTATGCCAAATGATAAAAACACAGATATTTTACCCTGAATAAATTTAAATTAAAAGGGGCAAAACGGGGAAGTACCTTTGCACAAATAATGGAAGAACAAACCAATGACTTTGTCACTATCAGAGCTTCCAAATCCTTGGCATTGTTATTTCAGCCCCCACCAACATATGTTGTACCAAAGAGATATAATATTATTAGCTACTTAACAAGAAAGTATATATCGGAATATAAGAATCACTTCATCACAGCGACGTTAATTTCAACCGAGAAAAGCCAAGGAACAGTTGTCCCAACTCCAAAGAGCATCCCGACTTCATCGTTTAAAGGAAACAGGTTGGTTGGATGAAAGCTGTTACCTGTATCAAGCCACCAAAGATCAAAGAAAAGCCTAGACCCGCGAAGGTCCTCAGCCCGTCTAGAAAAGGTCAAGAAATAGCACCCACGGAACAGTAAGTAATCCTTATGCAACTTGGTTGTTTTACTTGCCTTTCAATCACCTCGAGACCATCTCTCCCTTTTGGCAACAAAACCCGCAGCTGGTCCAAGTATCATGCAGAATACGCAAACAGGTACAAATTCGGACGACCTATTCTTGAGAAAATGTCCTTCCAAAGAGCAAGGCTTTGGCGTTCATCTTAGAATGCTCCTCCATTTGGGTTCTTGCAAAGAAGCTTTCACAACCAGCTTTGCAGTTTGTTGCCACTCTGAGTGTTTCTAAATTGCGATCCCCATAGGTAATCCCCATAGGCTCTGAGAATGGAGACATTGAGAAAGTTTCTGCTGCTGTTGATGCTGTTGGCCAGTATACCTGTGCGACTCTGTGATACAGATCCTCAAGATGGTAACTATGATAAATCTAATTCCTGTGCCTTTCTCTTCTTAGATTACTTTCATTGCAAAGATGTAGCTTGATCATATTGAAGGTGACAAGCCACACAAGTATTTAGATGAAATGTTTTCTATCTGCTATACTAGTATGAAAAATAATTTTGTTCTATCTACAAAATAGAGATGGCATTCAAGTGCATAATGCAATTGTACTATCATAAACACCATATCAAATAGTTCATTCAATATCATCTCCTTTCATATTCTCCAAGTTCGCAAATTTTCTTATTTATCTGCATAACATTAGCATGATGCAGAGCAACTGACAATAAAAGGAAGATATGGCACCATGCAGATAATATAGCTTAAGTCAGTGGTCTGTAAATTCCTGAATAATAACATCAATACGCATTGTCAGTGGCTGCTCTCCAGTCTTTCATCAGTGGATGGCAGGACTTCCCATCAAACTGGAAAGCATCAAATGATCCATGTGGTACACCATGGGACGGGGTTATGTGCGACAAGGGGCGGGTGACGTCACTGTGAGTACTAACTAATGATGTTTCAATTTCACCTATCATCCAGTTAAATTTGGCATCCCTGTTTCCAGGAGGCTTTCAGGCATTATTGACGCTCAAGGCACATTAAGCAACAGCATAGGCCAACTCAGTGAGCTTGTTTACCTGTGAGTTACGTACCCTTAAAATCATTCAAGTTTATTAATCATCATAGTAAGACTACATTTTCTGCTTCAAATGTTGGAGTATATGTATATATCAGAAGATTCTGGAGACTTTGACTGACTGCTTAAAGAAAACATGAACTGATGAACATGAATTCTTTGTTTCCAGATGGTAAAGTTGCAGAGCTTATAACATTTTAACAGAGAAGATATGAGCTATACTAATAAAACAAAAACCTGACGTTACATAAGTAGCAAAAGTTTAGAAAAAAGAACTGGCTAATTTACCTTGATAAAATATAATATACTGTTTTTGCTCATACTTTAGGGTGCTTGCAGGGATCTCTCCTACAACATTGGAATTGGTGGCCCACTGCCTGATGCTATCGGGAATCTCAAGAAGCTTAAAACACTGTATGCCTACATGACCATTAGCAAATCCTTATCTTGCATATTTGGGATACATCAATCACTGGCCTACCCTGCTGCATTGTACTTCTCAGGATCTTGGCTGGCTGCAGCTTCACAGGAGGCATCCAAGAGTTAGGAAACTTGCCGCAGCTCTTGTTCTTGTAAGAACTATTAGAACATACAAATCCTTAGTCATACTCACATTATTATTAAGCTCTGCTGCTACTTTCGTTGTACTAATGAGATGAATTTTCTCTGCAATAATTTCTCTGTAGGGCGCTGAATTCAAACAACTTCACAGGCGGAATTCCTCCATCGTTTGGTTTACTCTCAAACCTCTTTTGGCTAGACCTGGCAGATAACCAGCTTTCTGGACCTATTCCAATTTCCTCAGGTGGTTCTCCAGGACTTGACCTACTTACACACACCAAACATTTGTAAGTCCCTCTAACATTTATTCCTTCAGCCTGAATCAAGAATGCATGATCAATATGAAGTGTTAAGTCACTTTTTGTAACTGAAATTTAAGTCGCTTTGTTTTTCATACCATACTGATGCTTATCTCCAGTAAATCAACAGCCATTTTAACAAGAATCAGTTAAGTGGTAGTCTTGCTGGCCTCTTCAACTCTAGCATGATCCTCGAGCACATGTAAGGAAGTACCAATTTTCATTTTTAGTAGCACTACACATGTTACACTGACTACTTTGTTGAACTTCCACAGATTATTTGACCACAATCAATTGTCTGGTCCTATCCCGCCTGAGCTTGGTGGCATCGCAACCCTCAAAATCATGTAAGTATATGGGCAATGTCTTTCTTCCAACATATTCTAGTTGCTATTGTTGAACCCCTTTGCATCTTCCATAGCCGATTAGACAGGAACAATTTCACAGGAGAAGTTCCAGCCAACATCAGCAAGCTAGACAACCTAAATCTCCTGTAAGTAGCGTGAATTGTGATAACCCGTAACCAAAAAGAATAATATATTTATCTCATGTGGTGTAATTCTTTTTCTGCAGCAATTTAGCAAACAACCAGCTGAATGGGACAATACCAGATCTCAGTAGCCTGAGCAAACTAAACGTGGTGTAAGAAACGTCTGCATTGTTTTCTGCAAACTTCTATGATGTACACTGTTCTGATCAATTTTATCTGCACACCCAGGGACTTAAGCAACAATTTGTTCGATCCATCAGTAGCACCGAACTGGTTCTCAACTTTACAGTCTCTTACTTCAGTGTGAGTAAATTAATACTGTGCACTACTGATCATCTGATGTTCCCTCACGGTAGTCATTAGTCAGTAATATGTTTCTCCCTCAATCACAATTTGTTACCTTGACACCTTAATATGCAGAGCAATAGAATCTGGAGGACTCTCCGGCCCAGTTCCCAAAAGGCTCTTCACCCTATCCAATCTGCAGCGAGTGTAATTTTTCTGGCGACATGTAACAGAAATGAATTATCGTGAACATAGAAATTTCTCATGTTTTCCGCTTTTTCGCTGATCAGACAGTATACTAAGCAACAACGCACTGAATGAAACACTAGAGATGACTGGCAACATCACCCAACAACTGAAGATTGTGAATCTCCTTAACAATCGCATATTTGCAGTCAACATAACACCAAGCTACAACAAGACCCTTGTGTGAGCAGTACCTGCATATTCTAGAACCAAGATCTAAACATTCCCTCTGTATTCCATTAATTCACTAGCATTGCCTTTTCACCTATTCGCAGACTTGTGGGGAATCCTGTGTGCTTGGATTCAGATTCCTCGAGTCGCTTCTTTTGCAGCCTTCAGCAAGAGGGCCTGATATCATACAGCACCGATATAACCCAATGTGGTTCAACCACATGTTCCGGTGATCAAAGTCTAGACCCTGCAACTTGCAGTTGTGCCTATCCTTACACAGGCAAGATGATCTTCAGAGCGCCATTGTTCGCTGACCCGAGTGACAGAACGACTTTTCAGCAACTGGAAACTAGTCTCTGGAAAGAGCTGGGACTGCACCCTGGTGCAGTTTTCCTTTCTGATATCTATTTCAGCAGTGATGACTACCTCCAAGTCCAAGTGAGCCTCTTTCCATCAACAGGGACATCTTTTGCTACGTCAGAACTGATAAGGATTGGCTTTGCTTTTAGCAACCAAACTTATAAGCCACCAAATATTTTTGGACCTTATTACTTCATTGGAGATACATATGTCTCATTTTCAGGTATCCAACATCATCAATGTAAATTATGTCCATGTTTACATAAGAAATTCACTGGTACTTCCTATCTCAGGTGGTGCTGGCAGTGGGAAATCTCAAATGAGCAAACGTGCTATAGCTGGAACTGCAGTAGGCTGCAGTTTTCTTCTGCTTGCCCTAATGTCCGGGGCGACATTTGCTATACTGAAAAAGAGAAGGCCAGAACAATCATCAGGACGAGCAAATCCATTCGGTAAGGCTCCAAAGAATGTGAATTGCAATTCCAACTATGCAGCTGTCGATTCTGCCGAGACATGACACTATATATTACTAGAATTGACAAAGATTGCAGATAACTAAGTAGATACATAGCACATTATAACACAACAAAGCAATAACAACTGGGCCCTTTTTTTCTTGCAACCCCACTGTTAGGTGTCCAAGCTTACAACCGTTCATACTAATGGTTCTAACAGCAAGCGCTTAGCTAACAGATACTCACAGTCACAGCAGTGATAAAGGGAAAACTGACAAACTTTTGAAGATTGCTGAAACTTTACTGATTTTACTCCATTTGCATCTAAATTTAAGCTTCATGGGGAGTTGCTCAAAAAGATAGTGGAGGTGCTCCACAGCTCAAAGGAGCCAGGTTCTTCTCTTTTGATGAACTGAAGAACTGCACCAACAATTTCTCAGAAAATCATGAAATAGGATCAGGAGGCTACGGAAAGGTAAATAACTACATAGTTATTGATTAACATTCTTCCAAGAAGATTGACATACAGCTAATCTAACGGTTTACCTCATGTGAAAGGTTTACAAGGGAACGATTGAAGATGGAACAGGTGTTGCAATAAAAAGAGCGGAGTATGGATCAAAGCAAGGTGCGGTGGAGTTCAAGAATGAGATTGAACTGCTGTCCAGGGTTCATCACAGGAACCTAGTAAGCCTGATAGGATTTTGCTATGAACAAGGGGAGCAGATGCTGGTGTACGAATATGTTTCTAATGGTACATTGCGAGAGAACTTGCAAGGTATGCATACAGAGATAGTTCACAAGCCTAAAAGTAAGTACATTTTGTGTTTCTTCTCCTTCACAACTTGCAATTTTGACTCAGCAAGGGGAATTTACCTGGACTGGAAGAAGAGGCTCAGGATTGCTCTTGGCTCAGCTAGAGGACTAGCGTATCTTCACGAACTTGCTGATCCACCTATTATCCACAGAGATATCAAGTCCACAAATATCCTTTTGGATGACAATCTTAAAGCAAAGGTTGCTGATTTTGGTCTGTCGAAGCTAGTTGCGGATACCGAAAAGGGACACGTTTCTACTCAAGTCAAGGGAACACTTGTAAATGCTCTGCTTACCATTGTCTGCCAATTTGTGTACAGATTTCATTGGTTACTCTTATGCTTGACGGCTACATTTCATTTCGTAGGGCTATCTGGACCCCGAGTACTACATGACGCAGCAGCTATCGGAGAAGAGCGACGTCTACAGCTTCGGTGTCGTCATGCTTGAGCTACTAAGCGCCAGGTTGCCCATAACAAAGGGCAGATACATCGTCCGGGAGTTCAGGATTGCCATAGATCCCAACGAGCACGACTACTACGGCTTGCAGGGCATCATCGACCCGGCCATCCACGACGCCGCCAAGTCCGCCGGGTTCAGAAGGTTCGTGCAGCTGGCCATGGAGTGTGTGGAGGAGTCGGCTTCAAAACGGCCCACGATGAGCTCGGTGGTGAAGGAAATCGAGACGATGCTCCACAATGAGGGCCTGAGCTCATCCGGCTCGTCTGTCACGGAGTTCGAGCACGCAGGGCAAGCCACCGGAGGCCCATACGGCGGTGCGGTGGTTGTGACCGGATCGAGCAGCAGCAGCAGCATCATATCGGAAGAACCATCCCGGTCCCACCGTGGAACTCGGCACTAAGCTCCCCGCACGCTCTTTGCCTACTCGGTGGACATTTTATGGACATTTTTTTTCCTAATCAGTCGTTGGAACTTGCAATCCGCCCAAATTTGAAGGCCATGGCTCGAATGCCCGATTGGCTTCAGACCAGATCAACCAACGTCGACGGTGAATTCGTCTGTGTAACGTTAAATAAAGCAATGGCTAATGGAATCGAAGCTGCTCTGAACTCGTGATGCTAGATCGCAGAAACCCATGGCTTCGAATTAAGAGCGCGTTTGGATTTGCGGCCGTTGGTGTGTTAGGGCAGGGGTTTCGACGAGCGTGAGGGAGGGGAAATGCGGACGAACCTGGTCGGTCGGTGAGGCGGACACGGCCGGCGGCCGGCGGCGCGGAGGGCCGTGCCCCGTGCGTGTGGGCGTGCGCTTTGGAGGGGTTCGTCTCTGCTCCGCTCCGTCTTCCAAGGGGAAAATATCGGTGCACCGGAGTTTGTGGTGCTATGCACCTAAATCACGTTGCGCTATTAATTAAATTATTTAAAAAATTCTGGAATTTTTTTAGCACATGCACATAATATCAAGGGAAACGTTTGGGGTCGGGGCACCGGCGGAACATTGGGCCAGTCTCCCTCTTTCTCGCGTCTCCTTCATCGCAGCTCCCCCACATCTCGCGCAGCTCGCCGAGGCGCGCGCCGCCCTCTTCTTCTGCCCCCTCCACCCTACCCCTTCCTCATCCCTTCCCCTTCCCCCCCTCCCCTACTCGCCCCCCGGTCGCAGCACCACGTCTCCCCTCCCCGCTCGAAGCTTCCATGGTTTTCCCGGTGACCATCCCATCTCGCCGGCGACCGAGGGGCGGTGACCACGGGAGATGCTGCAACTGGGGGCGACGGGGTGCTACCACGGCGACGCGCTACCTCGCAGCATTGGAGCTCTGCCTACCTCGCCGGACCCGGCCACGCCGGAGCTGCAACCAGCCATGGCAGACTACACCCCCACGGCGATTTTTTTGCTGAAACTGGTTGTAGCAAATTCAATCGCCGGTGGTAGCAAAAATCTACTACGGTTGCAGCAAAACAGTGTCATCGTCATCGCGGGGTCGCAGCTGAGATAAGAAGTTTGAAGCTTTTTTCAATGCGGTTGTAACTTTTATTATTGTGGGTTGCAACTTTTCGTTTTTCGTCCATGGCTTCGTTTCCACGGTTGAAACTTTTTTATAGTCGGATGAAGCTTTTTTCATCGCTAGATGAAGCTTTTTCTGTCACCGGTTGTAACTTTTCATCCATGCCTTCGTTTCCACGGTTGAAACTTTTTGTATAGTCAGATGAAGCTTTTTTCATCGCTAGATGAAGCTTTTTCTGTCACCGGTTGTAACTTTTCGTCCATGCCTTCGTTTCCACTGTTGAAACTTTTTTTATAATCGGATGAAGCTTTTTTCATCGCTAGATGAAGCTTTTTCTGTCACCGGTTCTAACTTTTCTTGGTCATCCATAGCTCCAGTCGTATACTGGTTGAAGCTTTTTTGTAGCCGGTTGAAGCTTTTCCTATCGCTAGTTGTAGCTTTTTTTCGTCGTAGTTTGCAGCACTGGGCATCTCCCTGGGCGCTCGATTTTTTTTGTTCGCAAGCGGGGGATGAGCGCCGGCGAGCACACCGGTGAGCTCCGGTCGTCGCCACCGGAGCTGCAATGGTGGCCATGGAAGCTACAACCGCAGGGATTTGCTATTGCATGGGGCGAAGCCGGTGAAGAGGATGGTCGCCGAGGACTGGGACCGGGGCGACCGGCGACCAGGGCGGCCGGGAAAGACGGCCGGCGAGGACGGCGACCAGGGACGAGGAGGGCAGGCGAGGGAGGAGCGGCGACGAGGGGGAACGCGGAGCGGCCGGCGAGATGCGGTTCGCGAGAGGAAGACGACGCTCGTTACGCGCTCGCGAGAGGAAGACGACGATCTGGTTGGATAAGGATCGAACGGCTCGGGACGGGCCGATCTGATGGCTAGGGTGCGACCGGCCGAAACGTTTGGCCAGCGCACCGACGCCTAACATCGCCCTAATATCAATACAGGTTGCCACAAAATTTCAAGTCAAAACTCGAAACACAACTAAAAAAACAAAAGTGGCAAATCCAATGATGAATAGTGCGTACAATAACTTTGGCTTTAGATTTAGTCCATTATCACACTGATGTCAAATTTGTCATTTTTGTATCTTAAAAAATGTTTCAAATTTTGATATGAAACTTTGTGACACCATACATTGTTGTTGTGTTAATGTGCTAGGTTTTTTTCAGATTTTTTAAAAATGTTCTATGGCATCCGGTGCATCGGTAGCACCACAAGTGCCGGTGCACCGGATACATTCCCGTCTTCCACCTCCGCGTCGGCTCTCCGTGCCGTGACCCAAAGGATCTGAACACCGGGCCCAACACGCCGACCCAACCCAAACAGCATCCGCTCGATGATGCATTTATGGCCCAAATTTGATTCGGTTTACGCCCACACGGACATGAGGCGCGCGTCCGTTCGATGTCCATTGCAGGCCCATAAATTGGTCGGACAACCACCGCATGCGGGCGTAATAAATGTTGCCACCTAACTCGGGCTCGTATGACAGCGTGTGGAAGCATCCGCTGCATCGTCGTTTTTAAATGCAAGCGTGGGGGCGACCTCATCCACTTCTCCTCCGTCCACATCTGGCCACACGTGCTTCCTCGCCGGCGACCACAAAACCCTAGCTCGCCATGGGGTTGTTCAACAAGAACAAGGGAAAGCTCACCCCCGGCGCCAGCTTGTCCCGCGCGCCTTCTTCGTTGTCGTTGCCAACTCCTTCACGCGGCGGGCCACGGGAGAGGTTGTACATCCCGATGCACCAAGCGCGCTGGCACTAGCAGTACCGCTAGACACTGCCGTACTCAGATGTCGACCTACCCCACGGTTGGCATCTAGACCCGCACCGCATCCCCGTGTCGGCAGTGTCGTGGTCGCCGCGGGCGCACATAGAGAAGGTGTGCCGGTGTCGCGCCCTCCTTACGCCAGAGCAGCGGCGTCTCCCAGCCTACGCGTGGGACTCCCCCAACTGGGTGGCCTGGTTCGCGATGGAGCAAGGCGTTGCCCGCTGCGGTGGTGAAGGAAATATGCAATGGAGGCAATAATAAAGTTGTTATTTTATATTTTCTTATTCAAAGATTTATTCTTCATGCTAGAAATGTATTGATCAGAAACTTAAATACATGTGTGAATACATAAATAAATACCGTGTCCCTAGTGAGCCTCTACTAGACTAGCTCGTTGATCAAAGATGGTTAAGGTTTCCTAACCATGGACATGTGTTGTCATTTGATAACGGGGTCACATCATTAGGAGAATGATGTGATGGACAAGACCCATCTGTTAGCTTAGCATATGATCGTTCAGTTTATTGCTACTGCTTTCTTAATGTCAAATACATGTTCCTTCGACCATGAGATCATACAACTCCCGGATACCGGAGGGATACCTTGTGTGCTATCAAACGTCACAACATAACTGGGTGATCATAAAGATGCTCTATAGGTATCTCCGAAGGTGTCTGTTGAGTTGGCGTGAATCGAGATTGAGATTTGTCACTCCGTGTATCGGAGAGGTATCTCTGGGCCCTCTCGGTAATACACATCACAAGAAGCTTGCAAGCAAAGTGACTAAGGAGTTAGTTGCAAGATGATGTATTACGGAAAGAGTAAAGAGACTTGCAGGTAACGAGATTGAACTAGGTATAGAGATACTGACGATCGAATCTCGGGCAAGTAACATACCGACAGACAAAGGGAATTACGTATGTTGTCATAAAGGTTCAACCGATAAAAGATCTTCATAGAATATGTAGGAATTAATATGAGCATCCAGGTCCCGCTATTGGTTATTGACCGGAGAGGTGTCTCAGTCATGACTACATAATTTCCGACCCCGCAGGGTCGCACGCTTAACATTCATTGACGCTAGAGTAGTATTGGGATATTTGATGAGTGGTAACCAAATGTTGTTTGGAGTCCCGAATGAGATCCCGGACATCACGAGGAGTCTCGGAATGGTCGAGAGGTAAAAATTTATATATGGGAAGTCATATTTTGGGTTCCGAAAAAAGGTGCATTTTTTGGTATTGTACCGGAAAGCTTCTAGAAAGTTCCAGAGGATTCCGGAGGGGTCCGAAAGTCCACAAGTGAGTCCACCACAACCCAAGGGCTAGAATGGGCTGCGGGGAGGCGCCTTGGCCTTATTGGGCTAGGCGCACCAAGTCCTCAAAAGCCCATGTGGCTAGGGAGGGCAAAAAAAGGAGTCCTAGTAGGAATAGGATTGGACTTGGAGTCCAAGTCCTCTCCCCTTAGCTGCGCCTTAGGGCTTGGAGGGGTTGTTTCCCATGCTCCTCCACCTATATATAGAGGGAAGGGGTGTCCCAAGAGGACACACATAGCCCTTGGCGTCCCTTTCTCTCCCGTTACTCAATAGTTCCACCGCCTCATCCCGTCGATGCTTAGCGAAGCGTTGTTGGTACTTCACCACCATCACCACCATGCCATCGTGTTGGTTGTGATCCCATCTACTTCTCCTCTCCCGCTTGCTGGATCAAGAAGGAGGAGACGTCATCGAGCCGCACGTGTGCTAAACTCAGAGGTGTCGTCCGTTCGGCACTAGATCGGTTGGATCATGATCGGATCGCGAAGAGTACGACTACATCAACCGTGTGATAAACGCTTTCGCTAACGGTCTACAAGGTTACGTAGACACACTCTCCCCTCTTGTAGCTATGCATCTCCATGGATATATCTTGCGTGTGTGTAGAAATTTTTTATTTTCCATGTAACGTTTCCCAACAGTGGCATCAGAGGCAGATCTATGCGTAGATGACATGCATGAGTAAAACACAAAGAGTTGTGGGCAGTAATAGTCATACTGCTTACCACCAACGTCTTATTTTGATTCAGCGGTATTCTGGGATGAAGCGGCCTGGACCAACCTTACATGTCCATGCACATGAGACCGGTTCCATCGACT